TTGTGCAATAGTTTCGTAAATTAAAATTTGTTTGGCAAACTTTGTCGAATGAAAGTGGAACTTTCATCGTCCCTTTACTTTAGAAATTTCTTAATCACTTATTATTACTACAACATCGATCAAACATTATACGGTTTGCATGCGACACTTCCGTCTCACGTTGTATTTTTAATAAAATTCTCACGTTCAGTTACCGTCGATCACATGGGACGCGTGAAAAGAAACGAAGCGACGGGGTCAGTTAGCGATACGCAAGAAACATGGGGTTGCAATGTGTCGGAAAGCGAGGACAATTTACTCACGATTGATCGAGGTCGTTTCGAGGGTGACCGTGAAGGGACACTGATCGGCGAAACGGGGGAGAGATCGGTAGAGAGTGGTAGGAGACAACCGCGCCTGGTCGTCACCGCGATACTACTGGCGAAGGTTGCTCTACCCACGCGAGAATGAGCGACCTACGAAGTCACCCCCACCTACCCCCGAACCAGTCGGAATATAGCAAGACAGCAGCAACCCACCGATCCTTTGATTTCAATCGGCAGGTCCTCTGTTTATGTTTATTGAATCGTACCTCTGAATCAATCTCTGATTAATTGCCATGACAATTGTCATTAAGAAGGAGTTATATAGGAAGCCATGTATGTACTTTTAGAGAATAAATTCATATCTCACTGAATTATTTTTAATTTTTGGCATTAATATTTTAACATTATTAAAGTCGGATGCTTTATCAATCCGTGAAAAATACGAATTGTATTGAGGTAAACGGGATTAACGATAAATATTGTTGTTTTAACAGAACTCACTGAATATGCGTAATATAATGCTCATTGCCTTTGTCATTGTTCCTCGGTTGGGATTAAAAGCTTTTTGAATCTGCTGCATATAGATTGCATATATGCAAAGATGTGTAACAATCGCAATGGGATTGAAACGGTAGTCGAAACAATAGAGTGGAATAAATCTTGATCAATTTTTCCGCTAGAATTCTTATAATTATGCGATGAATACAGTCATAAAATATTTCTCCGGAAATTTATTTTCAATTCGACTAGGCATAAATAAATAGGCAAAAATTGAAAGCACGAAAAATCTGATACTTCGATGAGTGATGCTTCGAAGACTGTTCGGATCGTGAGAATATTCGAACGGAATTAAGGCGTTCATATATTTTGTGCACCAGGGTGTAATTGCATTTAGATTTAGAATGGCCGTCAATGCCATGTGCACGTTCACGTATCGGCTTACCGAACCACTCACCGTATTTCACCGTAATTAAAGCGGTTTAAGGTAAAGAGTCGATGTGCTCGAATAAGTCCGCATGACCGAGAATTTACCCATCGTGTGAATATTCAAGCATCCATACGTTTCACCGTAGTTAGCTCTGATTAATATTTCTTAATCACCGTGAACATTGTTAAACGAGTCTCATTTTCAGCTTACTTAACTAGTAATTTCAACCAGGTGATGTTGGAGTCATATTTTTATAATAACGAATATAGAAAGCAAACACAGTCCTATCGTACATGAAACGAAATTGTTCTAGCCACGTGTAATACATAAGTTAAAATGATAAAAGCATTAGGAAGTCATAAAGATAATAAGTAGGCGTCTTAACGTTAGAGTTAAATTCATGCTGAATGAATTTCTAGGTAGGCAGGTTGTTCAAAATCCGGAGCACGGTTTGTATCAAGCGCTCTACAGAAATTTAATATTCGAAGGGCCTCGTAGGTAAAACATGAAATATTCAATCCAATTTATTTTCGATATCTCGATTTTGATGATCGCAATATACGGCATTACGGAATGATGCTGCTTCCGTGAAATCGAGATTCGAGTACAAATCATATTTGAAGCTTGAATATTTATACAGATGCGAAGAATGCACGTCGTACCAGGCCATGCTTCTTCTTTCTATCTTCATTCGCGGCTAAATATTTAGTGCAAACACTTCGCGTTGATATTTTAATTCCGGTCGAGCGGAATGGAAGTCGATTTTTAAGAACCCAACTAGCTTGGAAGCTTTTCTATTTTTCTTCCCAGGGATATACATTGTTCTTTCAATCAGTCAAATGGTTTAGAACGCAGTAACTCAAGCGGAAAAAGCAACTGCTCGTTTCCCCTGAAGCGTTATTCGAACGCATGATACATGGCACGGGCACTACGCATTCCGAGAATTTTTTTTAAATCTCATTTGCAATGCGGTCATGCGAAACACTGCGAATCCTCGTTCGTTTGATCAGTCAATTATACCAGCAAACATTAATATCAGAAAGTAAATATAATCCGGCCGGTTTTATTTATTGCACACCGCCGTAGTACGTTTGTAATTAGGCTTAAAGAAGGTATGTTTTATGAATGCAAACAATAATTGCTATACAGGCGAGTTGCATTTATTAGAAATATGCGTAGCTGCGTATCGTGTTAGTTATTAAACCGAGGAGAAATTACGAATAGTAAAGATTACAATTAGTAGTCTTTCCTCGGTGCTTATTGTTAGTGACGGCTGTTGTCCCACAGAAACTTCTCCTTTCGCAGATGTCAGTAGCAAAAAGCTCGCCAAGAACTTCTTGCTATTTGTTCTGAACCGGGTATCAGATGGCGTCTGGAGCTTCATTCTCTTTGAGGATAATAGAATTTCTAGATTAATATTTTGTCACTAGCGTTTTGTTCTTCCGTTGGAAAAAGGTGTAACAGTTCTTATCCAGGTATGATAACTGAAAGTAATCATCAAAATTTTCATCGATCAGAGTTTCCCACGTTCGGAACGACGAAATGAATAGGCGTCAGATGGCAGAAGTGCTTGGCTAACGCTTGCTGGTTTTATCACAAAAAGTAGACATATCAACTAAATTTTACTGTAAAATTACGTGTATATACAGGGTGTCATGTAACTGATGGTCTAAACGGGGATAGAGGCTGATTCCGTATAAAAAAAGAAGTCGAAAATATAGATTGAAATTTGTACATTTGAGATTTCGGTTTCAAGAGAATCGATCTTAGAAATCTACTCGCTACACGTACATTCGGCCAAGTCTCAACTCAACAGATATCGCCTTGTATATTACGTTGTTATTTTAATTTTAAAAAGTAACCCCGTGCCTTATGTGAACAGAAACTCTTATGGAAATCGCTTTTAATTTTGTTTCGAATTTATGAGTCCAGTATTGTATAATAAAAATGGCTAAATTCTACTTAATAAATGAAAGAAAACAGCTCATTGCATTTTTACTTCATGATCCTATTCAAATTTCATTATGATTATGATTTCGATTTCTACTTTAATTCTGATCGTAATTCTGGTTTGGATTTTAATTTGGATTCTGATCAGGATTGTCGTTTCGATTTTAATTTTGTTTATGATTCTGATTTTAATTCGAATTATGATTAAGATTTTGATTTAGATTTCGACTTTAATTCTGATCTTGATTTTAATTTCCATTCTGATTTCGATTTCGATTTTAATTCTGCTTTCACTTTCGATTTCGATTTCGATTCTGATTCTGGGGTTCATGAATTCTCCTGTCTTTCATTTTCACGTTTGCTTTTCTATTTCACTTTGCATCTATTCTCTGCTTTTACTATTCCATTTGTTAATTGGAAGAATAGTTTAACAAGAAATAAAAGAAGGAAGGTATCGATGCATGGTTTCAAGAAATGGAATAAGAATCAACGACTTGACGCATCATTAATTTGGTACATATCTCTTTCACTTCGACGATTGGTCTTCTACCTCATTTTATATCTACTCTTTCCTTTCAAAGTTCCGGTTCACCGTCGCCGGGAACGATGGTTCATCAAGAAATAGAAGAGAAACGAAGGAGGGTCTCGACACATAGTTTCAAGAAATTGGAGACAGAGAGAGGAGATCGAAGAGAAGAACTCGGCGTATAATTAATAACTACATGTATAAATATGATTACAAAATTCAAAGCGAAAACTATTCCCGTTCCTCTTCCTAAATGTTTGAGTAAACTTAAATTCATTTAAAAGTGTTCTCGCTTTGAAAAGTGTTCTCGTTTGGTACGCCATCCTATATTCCCATTTTATAACGAAGCTTTAACTTCATTCCTCTTTCGTTTCAATCAATTTTTCTCGCGTTTCGTATACCCGCGCCGCTACCAGTCAGACTCTGTTTGGGTATCATACGAGACTGCGGTTTTGATCAAGCTATTGAAGCTTGGGTCCTGTATTTTGGGTGACCTGCCCCGTCAATCGCAGGGGTGCGTCTGTCCCATTCAAAGGTGCTGTGCTGATGCATATGTTGGGTTACATTACAAGTCGGACTGTGGTCGTTCAGAACACTCACGCAGGGACATGGTCGCCCTTGGGTAGATCCTCCTCGAGTCGAGCATTGACTACCGAAGCATAAAATCTGACGTTTTAAACATAGCTTTCAATTAAAGTTAATAGTTAGAGTTTTGCTCTCAATAGTATAAAATCTTCCTCCAATATTCGCTCCATATAATAGAGGAATAATTTAAAAGGGAAGAGGGCAGTGGGGATTGTCCATTGTCTGAGTCTCGAATGTAGTTGAGAGGTGAGATTTGGGTTGGTAACGTTCAGAAACATGGCTCGCTCCTAACGAAACAGACACAACTACATTCCTCTTGTTCTTCAATATTATTTCATTAAGTACTAGTTGAGCCGTTTACTTTGAAAGTGGCCTAAGTCCACTAATTTTAGATTTAGAATGTTCAAAAATATTGGTAACTAATAGTAGTATAATGTTCTTGTATTTCTAAGCGTGTATCATTTACTAACACAATTACAAACATTGTTTAAAAAATAATATGTTTTTAATGGCTATAAATATGGACTTAAGCCACTTTCAAAATGAATGAAAACACTTTTCTAATTCTTAAAAAGGCATAAATCCATGTTAAAAAATAAAGTTCCCTTTAAATAAAAAAAAATATATATAATTTTATGTTGTAAAATTAAAAAATATCCCATTTTTATTCAGTATTAAAGAAATGTTACATTAAAATTAATAATATTTTGTAATTAATTATTCGCTGTTCATCAATTTTCGTATTAGAAGAGAAACGAAGGAGGGTCTCGACACATAGTTTCAAGAAATTGGAGACAGAGAGAGGAGATCGAAGAGAAGAACTCGGCGTATAATTAATAACTACATGTATAAATATGATTACAAAATTCAAAGCGAAAACTATTCCCGTTCCTCTTCCTAAATGTTTGAGTAAACTTAAATTCATTTAAAAGTGTTCTCGCTTTGAAAAGTGTTCTCGTTTGGTACGCCATCCTATATTCCCATTTTATAACGAAGCTTTAACTTCATTCCTCTTTCGTTTCAATCAATTTTTCTCGCGTTTCGTATACCCGCGCCGCTACCAGTCAGACTCTGTTTGGGTATCATACGAGACTGCGGTTTTGATCAAGCTATTGAAGCTTGGGTCCTGTATTTTGGGTGACCTGCCCCGTCAATCGCAGGGGTGCGTCTGTCCCATTCAAAGGTGCTGTGCTGATGCATATGTTGGGTTACATTACAAGTCGGACTGTGGTCGTTCAGAACACTCACGCAGGGACATGGTCGCCCTTGGGTAGATCCTCCTCGAGTCGAGCATTGACTACCGAAGCATAAAATCTGACGTTTTAAACATAGCTTTCAATTAAAGTTAATAGTTAGAGTTTTGCTCTCAATAGTATAAAATCTTCCTCCAATATTCGCTCCATATAATAGAGGAATAATTTAAAAGGGAAGAGGGCAGTGGGGATTGTCCATTGTCTGAGTCTCGAATGTAGTTGAGAGGTGAGATTTGGGTTGGTAACGTTCAGAAACATGGCTCGCTCCTAACGAAACAGACACAACTACATTCCTCTTGTTCTTCAATATTATTTCATTAAGTACTAGTTGAGCCGTTTACTTTGAAAGTGGCCTAAGTCCACTAATTTTAGATTTAGAATGTTCAAAAATATTGGTAACTAATAGTAGTATAATGTTCTTGTATTTCTAAGCGTGTATCATTTACTAACACAATTACAAACATTGTTTAAAAAATAGTATGTTTTTAATGGCTATAAATATGGACTTAAGCCACTTTCAAAATGAATGAAAACACTTTTCTAATTCTTAAAAAGGCATAAATCCATGTTAAAAAATAAAGTTCCCTTTAAATAAAAAAAAATATATATAATTTTATGTTGTAAAATTAAAAAATATCCCATTTTTATTCAGTATTAAAGAAATGTTACATTAAAATTAATAATATTTTGTAATTAATTATTCGCTGTTCATCAATTTTCGTATACAGGAGGAATTTAAGATAATTATGGTATGCCGGTTGTGCATAGTCTAATAAGTCCATCAGATCATTATATTTTAGCGTTCTGATTGGTCTTGTTTACCGTACATTACTGTGAATTCAATGTTATTAAAATTTCTTGACCTCCTCCAACGCGGTATTAAGTCGAGAGTTTTGAAGTGCATTCTCATTAATGTTTCATAGAACATTTTATTCTATAGTTCAGCTCTCAAAAATCGCATCCAACATATTTTTAACAAGTTTACCATTTCTCCGTTAGTAAAAAAACGAAATAAAAATCACTATCTGATCAAATCGAATATTACTACTTTAATAATAAAACGTAAAGCTCTTATCTCGTAAAATTTTATCATGTAATATACTCCATATCCGTTTGACACTCAAAATGGGACTTGAGCCACTTTCAAAATTATCATTCTATTAACCAGATAATTTTCTTTTTAGAAAATCTTTCTGATTTTAAATGTGTTATTTAAAATTTCCTTCAAAATGAAAAGATGACGTAGGAATATAAATATTAAAGTAGCTAGCTTTTCTTTTAGAATTTTTTTTTAGGAAATAGACTTAGGCCACTTTCAAAATAAATAGCTATGTTCTTTAATTGATCACTATTTATGCGACAGAGGATCTTCGAATTAGCCCTAATTTTTCGTTTCTGTACGGCAGAACAATGTGAAACAAAAGTACATAAGGAGAATAGGTCTGCTCAAGTATCTCGTCCGTGGTTTTTTTTCGTTGAATGCTCAGCTGGAAAGTTTAGCCACTTTTCGTAATAGCTGCTTGCGTAGATATTTGACTTTGAGTACAATGAAAGTAAAAAGTGGATACGAAGTTTATCGCCATGAGGAGTAGAAGTTCGCTCAAAGCTCCAAGATTTTAAAGAAAACTTTTAATAATAGCAACACAGAAGATCATTTATTCATGCATACAAATTATAGACAATTGAGCTGATGAATGCTTAAGAAGACGGATCGTGCTTAAAAATAAATTACGAACTTGCGATGCTTCTGTGTTGATGTTAAAGTTGAATAACCAAGGAACTGAAGATCTTAGGATTATCAGTATGCCCTAAAAAGGAGCAACAGGCAGTATCAATATTTCATGCAACGTTATCCACAAATTCAATATATTTTCGCTCTGACATGGATTTTCAGTGAGAGCTTATTTATGACTCTAATACCGGCAATTAATCTAGGCCAGATCAGTATTAGATGGAGAAGAATAATTTAATCCCCGCTAACTTATTTTATCAATTTTAATTCAATTGATATTTGCTATGATAATCTATTGAGAATCAGCTTAAACTCGATCGTATAGTAGTTTGTCCAATTATAACGCTGTCATTCAATATTTATCCGGATTAATAACGGCAATGTAGAATTTCTACTAACAATGAAATAGCGTACCGTTAATTCCCATGTAACCATGTTAGTCAATAACGACGAAATGAACCAATAAATTTAAATTGTCAGCGAACATTCAGAACAAGTTCATTGGTAAAATTGGTAGAAATTTTGCAAAAAAAGGAGATGGTCGATGTTATAGGTAAAAATCAATTTCTTTCCTTTGATTCAGTTGGTGAAGATCAAGCACGTTTGCAATTTAACGGATATCCTCTTATCGAGGGATGATGCGGGTCGCTTAGTATTCAAGCGTCATACTGGTCAACTTAAACCCGCTTGATTGCATCGATTGTAGCGTTTAAACCGGTGTCGCATCGGACAGACACCACGTCGATTTTATTCCAAACTTTTACATGGATCCCCGCGCATTTCGTCGCACGCGTTCTTTCTGGAATGTCTTTCGTACTATCACAAAATTGTCGAACGTGACGAGAAATAATCTGTTTCAGTTTCTGGTTTGTTGAGCGCTACGTAAAAATATAGAAACATGACACAGAATACTCATTAACACGAAGTGTGACATTTTTGCAAACTAAACTATTACAGACATGATGTAACATTTTGTTACTTGTTTAAGCTGCATAAATTAATAAAATTTATAAACGCGTTTGTCAATTGATTTATAACAATTCTGAATATTATTGAAATCAAAGCCGCCTGTCAGATTTTTGATTCCTTTGATAAACTCACCATCGAGCTTTATTTCAATTTCCATTAATTTCCATATTTCTGGCTCCGCTTTTCCGCGTGTGGTATTTATGAAATAGGTCGTATTAACATCGATTGACGAAGCAAGCGACATTGGAATATTTTAATTTCGTGTGTCGTGAGTTCGCTAATCATGCGGATGCATTGCAATCTAATCTTCAGTTTCCTTCCAATGACGCCTTCGACTTCCGCTGAGGATGGGGCACGTGGAAGCTACAGTCGCGTTGAAAGCGATAAGACCACTTATCGTAATAGAAGTTACGGATTTGAAACAGTAGCGAGGTAGAAGTTTGACTAACTCCACGTCGCGTCGCGTCGCGTCGCGTCCTTGTGTAAATTAATCGTAACGAACTTCGAACGGTTGCACTAAAAAGTTGAAAAGATAAAACTCGAAATAATGTCCTTTTCTTATCCTTGTTTATATTTATGCGAAAAATTCATTAAACTTTTCATTGGGAACGGTTGTCACTCTTCTTCCCACGTGATCACTGTCAATTACTTAGCTCGTTTTTCTTTCGCGTTTTCGCTGATGTGAGGAACAGCAATTTTATTACAATAACAGGCTTGTTACAAATGTCAGCGAATCCCTTGACCGAATTGGGCTACTTCAATTTGCCTTCTCGATCAACAGAGACGAGATAGATAGGCAAATAAACGATGAATCTGGATAACCCTGTCGTTCTGCAGTTGAGGAATGTGGGTTATGAAGATGACAGTGATTACGAGGAGTTCGTGTTATTTGTTTGACTCAAACAATGTCGATCACCAGTTCCTAATAGAATGGCAGAATTTTGGAACACATAGATAAGATGGGATTCTCAGCTATCGCATATAAAGCAATTTAATTAAAAATTTTAATTTCAGTATTCAAAGAAATATTCAGTTAATCGATACACACTAGACTAATCAATTCAGATTACTTAAATATCATGTTAAAAAATATGTCTACTTACCCGAGGAAATTGTTGCTTGAAGATATTTTATTTCCACGTTAAATTCCAATAATCAGTATGATTTTCACAGTTTTACGTAATTGAATGGTTAAACGAGCTTCCATCGGTACTGATAATTTGACGGAATCATATTTTCAATTGCAATATTGCAAATTTAACGATGAAAATCTCGTCGAACACTTACAAGAACGTGTACCTATACGCGTTGAAAATTTACTCGACTCGCATCCGATCGCGTTGAGCCCGAATTGCGTTTGATTTAGCGGATAAATTTTTACAGTAATTTGCACCGTGATCCATTAATTTCCCAATTAACAGGAACGGCGGTCGTATGCATGTTTCGACGGTATTGAAATTACGTGACACGCAGCAACGGAACGTCTACAAAGGCATGGCGGATGTAACTAAACCGACTGGATGACTGAAAGTAAAAAATTAGCAAGATCTTTTTTCGTCATCGAGTACGTCTGGGTTCTGATGCGAGTGCCGAGAAACGTGAATTTCTGTGGCTGCGTGCGCCGCGCGGCGTGTCACTTACCGTGGGAATTCTAATTGAATTCCAAGTGGATTCGCAAACGTAACAGCGAACACGCATCCTGATCCCGCGTATAGTCTCGCGTTGAAAACGTTTCTAGAAATTCCTACCGATACTAATCTGTCCGTGGTCATTGGTGCTGGAAGAACGCGTTGCACTCGAAATGTAAAACAAATAACTCTTGTCTGGCAACTGTTGCATCGGGACCTCACTAGTATTGATTTAATATGAATCGGATAACTTTCATCTTCCTGTCATACAATCCTTTCTTTAAGATCTAACAATCATAAATATTTCTCCTACTATTTGACGTGTGATTTTAGTTGAACACATTAATTCATAAATAATATTAAGTACGCGACAATGGCAATAAAGTGATTATTGATTGTGCAAATAGGTAACTCAGTTATAATCAATTTCCATGTAACGCGATTGCTGCCTTCAAAGTTCGTAATATCATTTAAGTAAAGTCTCGTTGATTAGCGAAACGGATTAAAATGATACTGAGAAATAGGTAAGTACAAATTGGACAAAGTCAGTTAGATTAATTTTTTAAGAGGAAACTGTCTATAATATTGAATAAGGTCCGATTTAAAGGGAAGAATCCTCGGAGGAGGGTGTTAGGCGTGGATAACGGGGAAAGAAGACACAAATCGTTGCATCGTGTTTTGCGACTGCGTCAAGGGAGCGTGGATCCTCCACGGGTCCAAGTTTCGCTTCAGTTTACGGCGCGCTGTCGATTTCGCCGAATTGACGTCCCGTTCCTATCGAGATGAGCTTATTCATCAGTGCACTTCGGCTTCCCAATAACAACCTCTTCATCCTCCATACCGTGAAAAATTAAATTAAAGAAAGAAGGCAAAAAACACGCAAATAATCGTGATACCAGTTGAAAATATCGGGAGAACGATGTCTAGGAGTATATTTCGATACGCAGTTTCAATATGTTTTTCCTGACAAACTTTGTGCATCGGCCAACTCGTGAATTAAAAAGAATACTCAAACTTTTCCGTCACCTGATTAGTTTCCCTTTTGAGTGGTTCATTCATTCTTAGAATTATTCCGGCGACTTGTCAAGGAATCGAAGTAACGTGTACGAATGTAAAAATAACGAACGAATGACGCAGGAATCTGTACTGTATAATTCGCCAGGCCAGAGTACGGAGCATCGTTGAGACCAGAAATTAGGCACGTGTGAACGCGACGAATTAGCCAGACAGGACGAGGAGACGGAACTTTGTGGCCCGCCACGAAGGCAAGGGGAAGGCCTCGTGAAAGGTAAATCATTTACGAAGTCTCTGGCAAATCGAGTTACCGATAAACAGGATTCATCGAGTTACTCTGCTCGGTAAAATTTTACAACATGAGAGCAAGAGTTATGGGTGGGACAAATTACATTAGTTCTACAAGCATCAATAATAAATATGTAATTTAACAAGAATTGTTGGAGGCTTACGGAAGTGTAGTATTCAATTGGGCACGCTTAGCATTCTTTAAAGTGATTCTACTTAGAGATCGTCACTCGAGTATTTCGCTCCAAACGAATTGAGTCCTATCAATGTTTTATAAATCGCGCGAAATAAAAGAAAGCGGATTTCAAGGGACGGGTAAGGAAAGTACGGTAAATCCTCGCGTAGCAGTGTGAGAAGTGGCGAATAATTGATAGGCAAACATATCTCGCTCAGGAAGCAAGCGTGTTGCATCTCGCAGACACATCGCCGCACGTACAAGTAGTTTTCTAATTTTAAACATTAATGCCTCGGATCCGACAACGTGTGATCACGATTTCGTTAACGCTGCTTTATATCAACGTCGTTCATTTACAAGGTACGGGTTTTATGAGCGACATAGCGATCCGCATAGACGTAGGTGTTCCAACGATCTGCATGCAACGAATCCATCCCTTCACCTTTACGTGTCGTGCCAATGAAAGATAAAATTTTCAAAGAACTAGTAAACTTTGAACACTGCAGGCAGGAAGTGATGCGAATTGGTTCTATTTCGTGAATGTATAATATGATACGATTTGCGGCGTGACTAGTTTCAGTTCAGATTTCCATATGCTCGAAGAACTCTACGAATTGTTGCAACTGCGACCGAGTAACTTCGCATTTTATGGTACGCGCGTGAAACGAAATAGAAAATAATGCTAACCGAACTGGAAATTTCGATCGTACCAAAAGGGCAAATCAGTAAATGGAACGGAATTCTTCGATTTCTTCTTTGCCTCGAGCTTGCCTACGATAATTGAACGGAAAACGCGTTCCCAACGACGCGGCTGCTGTGGGAAGAAAAAGGAACACGAGAGCGTATAGATAGGAAGTAGATCGGGAGAAAAGTTTTTGCTTGTCTGCTCTGGCGCGAGCTTGAGCGAGATTCTCGGTAAAGAATTTTAAGTTCGCGGGATAAATATGCAGAAAATCTGCGGCGACGAGAAAACAGAAAATGTTGACTCCAATTTACAGTCGTGTTACTTCGTTAAATCAAAAACTTTCTTTCTCGTTCGCTAATACCACGTCTCGTTCTATTCGACAGTTTATGATTATTCTCACGTATTGGGAACTTTGTTTAATAAACAGCAGCCGTGCTGTCTCTTAATTTAGCTTCACTTCGATTGGAAATAATTTCTAAGACTGAAGCTCATTATTCGACTATAGATTTTTACACAAACTAAAATATTTAGAACATAGAATGAAATTCAAATATGTTTCGCTTTTCATCCACTTTGCTTTTGATATTTAGTTTAATTTGGCAGACTTATATCTCTTATGAATCTATAAAAATCCGAACTCATTAATTCTGACGCAGAATATTAATCGAAAGTAATTAGGGAGTAAAAGAATCAAAGGAGGACGGCTATCGAAGCAACACGTATTAATATAATCATACGTCATTGAAGTTTATTAACTTAGTTACAGCTCTTTAAATTCACCGATGTCATATGGCAATAAATCATCGAAATGTTAGAATTTACCATTATAAATGAAATTTCATACATTTAATAGTTCGTGAAATATGTGATAAAATATAGCTCTCTGGAATACATTGGTAAAAAGTTGTACGTTACATTTTATGATCGGATTTACTCAAAATGCAATTACGTACGATTACTTCATCACAGAAACCAGATATTTTGAACACATGGAATGCATAATATATTTCCTAGTTTGTATAGCGAGTCGACCGAGGTTGCCGAATCGATATATATAGCGGAACGATGTTAAAGGCTTCGTTCTGTCCAATTAAGACGAGCCATTCTAGAAATGCTATCGACCGAAGCATACGTGCATTTTCGATATTTCGTAATTCGATGTACCAGTAACACTGAACGCAGATATTTAATTCATCATTTTTGTCATTTCTTATCGACAACCTTAACTATGATAATTCTGTCGTTCATCCTCCTACGATGTCGCTTTGCAGTCGGATATAAACGATGTCGTGAAGCTTTATTTGCAATATTTTCTCAAACCAGCTGCAGTTTCAGAAATAATTGCAGGTGAAACTTAAGATGAGACATCTAGTATTAAGAAGAATGTACAGAGGATCAGCCCCGACATTTCAAATTGTCCAACTTTCCGAAACGGAGAAAACCGAGTTTTTTCTACTTCTAAGAAAAAGTCATAACGCATTATTCTTTTCGAGAGTAAAGTCGAAACAAGGAAAATTATATTTTTCTATTACTTATAATTTGATCACCAAGCATGCATATTCATCATTCTCTTTGTTTATCGTAAAAAAATACTGTGGGCGTCAGGGATCACGTGTCATCGTGAATTGTTGTTTAAACTGTTGAGTACTGTGTGGGATTCGGCATGTAAATCGAATCAGAATCGCGGAAATCGAAATTGCATTACTACAGTCAAATTGGAAAGCGTTCTTGAATGAAAATAAAAAATGTGAAAAGCGGGTCTACTCAATCCATCGGCCTGGTGTAATGTCTTTCCAAATGGCATAGATTAAATCTCAAGATCAGGAAATTAACACGACGAGGGCAAACAACCGTTTCGAATAGTCGAGGAAGATAATTAATTCCCTTTAATTACGTTCATCGACTGGGGTGGATAAGAACCGTCCGCGGACGATTGGTTCTTTCCGTAGATCGCTGGAAAATCCGTGGACCGTATGCTTTTGTTCCCTTTCCGTTGAACGGTGGATCAGTATTTCCCAAGTGACGGATTACCATCGTACAGGAACCGGTATAAGGAAAGTGGACGAGTTTGAAAGATGCATTAACTTGGTAACTCGGGGAATAAGTCGGACGAAAAAGATTTATTCCATGAGGAAACGTTCGACGCACAAAACGTTGAGGAAACTAGAGCTTACATTTATGAATCGTGCCGCTTCTTTTCTTCCGTTGAAGAATCAGAAACCACGTCTGCACCAAAGCCGTGCTACTTGCACCGCAATGCGAAGAATTTCTCCGTTAGTCACACGCAATTGATATTAGACTACAATGAAAGCAGGGATGCTGCTCGGTACGAGACAATTGCGTTATGTAGAAAGGAATAAAATGTAGATTTCGCTGAGAAGCAAAAGCGGAAGGGAGATTACAAATAAGCCAGATTAACTTCAATTATTTGATCCGAGAGCTGCGATGAGAAATCTTGTACCGTATGCAAATGTGACCACCGTTATATCTCAGCGACTGTTTCTCATAAATTAGAAGCTACTTCGGACTAACAAGCATCGTTGTAACGTTAAACTGCTTTCATAAAGTAAATACTCGTATTGAATATAAACATTAACCAGTGCTCTTGTGGTTTAATCTTCTCACGTTCATCGTAAAGGGTAAGATCGAACGGGTCTCGCGTTACTGACCAACAATGTGGGTGGTTGAAACGCATTTCAAGAATGTCCGTCAAAGCGTGCTCGGAGATGTTTAAACGGGAATAAGAAAGATTCCGCGTATAAACCGGTATCGATCGAATTCTTAACGCCGCAAGGTTCTTTTTCAGAAAGAAGCAACGCTTGCTCCGTTATGGAGCTAAAAGGTGGAGACATGAACAAGCGGTCACGTCTGGCACAAGTGGCCCACGAGAATTGGTCGCGTTAAGTGAGCGTTCAACCGGGAGTGTCTTCAACTGAAAATCAAATACAATTAATTACCGTCGCATGAGGTAGATAAAATTAAATTGGAATCGGGATTGAGGGATAACTATGCTGAATAAAGTATGAAACAATTCTGGCGAGATGTCTCGTGGATTGTAACAATAATTCGACTAATAAATCAGATTAAAAGGGTTAACCTGTTATATAATGGAAAAAGTGAGTCAAGTTAAATTGACAAGTCACTGGCAATAGTAGGGCAAACATGATATTTCAGGATTAAGCGAATGTAAAACGATCAACGTCGTATCCACTTTCGTAACACGAAGTGTTGTCAAAGTGTGACACTTGTGGAAGATAAATTGGAATTTGATTTCTCGACGGTGTTAGCAAAACTTTCAAATTTCGTTCTTTTGAACAACGTCCGGTGATAAATTTTTATTCCGTGTGTTCGTCACAAGAGCTTTTGAGGAAACTCATTTTCTGGAGTAGCGTTGACTATAAGAGCAACCACAAGAATCGATCTACACCACGGAAACGATGATGAACATGAATGTACGATACGAAGGAAACTGCACTTTCTGTTATGATTTTCGTCGTTCTACTAATATTATCCTTTTATTGGCTTTCGATAACGTGACGATCAGTGCGCGATCTTCTAACGCTGCGGCACGGTTCCCGGCGAGACAGAATAAGGGAAGCCGGGCAAATTGAGTTCCTTGGCGAGAATCTCTGTAAAATCACACACCGAATCGCTTTAATCTGCAAACTCCGTGGTCCTATTGAAACAGTCTGGACCTCATGAGGCGAAATCTCCACGAGTTTATTCGGACACTCTCGCATCTGCTTAAGCAGATTGAAACATTCTGTTTTACGCAGGAGATATGTTTCGTTGAAATCCTTTGTGCAATATTAATGGCAATCGAGTGTCTCCGGGATGAAACGGAATGTAAAACATTTCCCATGCATGGCACGCAGTTTATTCAGTAGAATTTGATTTCACAGTTGACGCGAATCGGTTGACCAGAGATATGTAGGTCAACATAGATAGGTAGGTGATAATTACAAGGGTGGAAACAAGAATGTTCAGCTTACGGAAAGCTGAATCCCATATTAAACGTAACGAAATTCCCGATTGCCAAGGTAACGAATTAAAAGCGATGTCGACTGCAGACCCAAGACTCCTTGTTCGGCAATGAAAACGATCCGTTTTAATTAAATACTATGGC